TCTAGTTCCCCATTATGCTTGTTTTTTTAATCCCAAAAGTCATCTGTGTTGTCAGAGGGCACAGGTTATAAACAGGGCTCTGCTGTTTGTTTGCAAGATACATAATACAGGTTGTACCTCTCTAGTCCGGCATTCTGTGGTCCGGAAACTCCCGTGGTCCGGAACGATTTTAGTTTGTCCATTAGGTAAATAGGCAGCATTTTTTTTTTCTTTTTTTTTTACTTATCTGAATTATTATTATTATTACAGGAGTTTTAAAATTTTGCCCCTCAGGCCCCAATGTGGGTCAGTGACCTATGCCCGGGTGGGCTAATCCCCGTAAAAAAGAACAACAACAAAGCCGAGGGAAATTAAGGTTTGTTTACATCCGGCAGTTCGGCTGCTCTCTCTCTCTCTCTCTCTCCTTGTCTATACAGAGTACAGTACAACATTTAACCCTTCAATATATATGAGCAGTAATAAGTGTTGCTTTCATATTCTTATGTAGAGTAATGACGATATGTTTTCACATGTGCGCACTTACATACGCGCACTCACTTTTTTTTACCATTAATGGTTAGCTACTTATATTGTTCCATTTATTAACATTAAATAACATTACAGGTACTTCAAACAACCATATTAATTTTTTTACATTAATTTTACTACAGCTACAATCAGGGTCTTATTTTCTTCAGTTTTATATGTAGAACCAATCAGTCACTGGTTTTGTAAGCTTTAACAAAAACAATGCCGGCAGCCGTCTCGTCTCCTCGTGTGTTTTAATATTCCACGTATTATTAATAAATTGTATTGTTAATTTTGCACACACAAACATTAATTCAATAAAAACAAATTCAGAAACATTAATTAAAATATATATGAACAGTAAATAAGTGTTGCTTTCATATTCTTATGTAAAGTAATGACGATATGTTTTCACGTGTGCGCACTTACATACGCGATCTCTCTTTTTTCTTTACCATTATCGTTAGCTACTTCTATTGTTCCATTTATTAACATTAAATAACATTACTTAAAACAACCATATTAATTTTACTACAGCTACAACCAAGGTCTTATTTTCTTCAGTTTTATATGTAGAACCAGTCAGTCACTGGTTTTGTAATCAACGAAAACAATGCTGTGTCATTTCCTCGTGTTTTAATATTCTACGTATTATTAATGAATTGTATTGCTCATTTTGCACACACAAACATTAATTCAATCAAAAAGACTTTCAGTAATAAACAATAATGAATATTTTGTACATAAGAGAAATGACGCTGTTTACACTTCTAATTCCCATCATCATCATCAACCAGGAGCCTTCTACATACACACCTCAAAGTAAGTGTACTTTACTGCATTTATTTTTAGTTTGTATGTAATTTTTGGTGAGCTGGAACCAATTACCCAAAATCCCATTGAAACAATGGTTTCAGTTAACGAAATTTTCGGTTAACGAACGACCTTCTGGAACGAATTGTGTTCGTTAACTGAGGGACCACTGTACTGTACTGCAATGACATAATGCTATACAAAATCATGACACGTTTCCCTTTGTTTGCTGCTCACCCCCTTTCACCAATCCCAGCTATCCACCGCTGGCCAGGTCATATATACAGAAGCAGTAGATATCTCAATAGTGTTGTCGAATTACCATTGGCTGTCCCGCCAGTCTCTGGTAATTTCCCGATGATCGGTATCAGTGTTCAGACAAAACAACAGGCAGGTAGATTTCCATCAGATCACAGAAACACACTTGTGCACTGTAGTCTTCTTTAATAATCACTAATTCTTCACAAAACTGTTCACAGGGTATATCTTTACCACTGGACTTTTCACTTTGAATATTTACAGTGAGCTCACTACCAGTGTACAATTCCTTAGCCTTTTCACATTACAGTATATCGCTCACAACAATTCCACAATACAGTACTTTACTGCACAACAATTATTATCTTCAGCTGTCACTAGGACTGTACTTCACACTCTGAAGAAAAACAGATTACTAACTCCTAAGAAGCTTGCAGGTGTTATACATGTCTCGTCAGACACCAAGAGCACCCTCGTGACATCCAGGCGCTACTCGTGAGAACAAGATATGCCTGGAGAGTTCTAGAATGATCTAGGCTTACAATACGTAAGTAAATCATAACAAAAATGATGCAATACATTCTAGAAAATTCTTACATAAGTAATACATTAATATACAGTATAGGAAAAAATCTCCCTAAACTTGCCAAAATACCTGCTGCATAGAATAGAAAATAATCAAAACACTTACCTCACAAAAATTAAGATCCTAAATTATGCCTCGGTATAACTCTACCCCCTTCCTAATCCTTGTGTCATACCGACACAACTATTTATTATATACATAATAATCCTGAAACTTGGTAGATCTCTTCCTCTCCTGCTGCTGCTGCTGACGTACTGGGATGTCTTTTGAGTCCTCCCTTGGTGCAGCTACCTCGGTCACATTCTCAGATGCCCCCCCCCCCGCTTCCTGTCTTGTCCTCTTCCTTGTCCATGGTTGGCTTCTCCAGATTGGTATGTCCCTGGGTTCTTCCAGGATTTCCAGTCTGATCCTCGTCGATGGTAGGTGAACTGTTCCTCAGAGTCCTCCCAGGTGTACTGCCCTGGCCCATGATACTGCCACAGACGATTGACGTGGACTACCTTTGGCTGAGTCTTTCTTCCTCCCCTGATCCGGTAGGTCACATCTGAAAGGAGTTCCACTACAGTGTATGGTCCTTCCCATGTACTATGTAACTTTGGTGACTGACCCTTCTTCCGTAGAGGGTTATACAGCCAGACCTTATCACCGTCCTTGTAACAGAACTGGCTCACTTTGAAGGAACAACATATGGAGAAAAACTAATGACAGACCTGAAACTAGAAGATGCAGCTAGATTTAGGAAATTTCAGGAACACCACCTTCAGATTTTGAAATATTACTGAAAATGGTTGGTCCCAAAATCACAAAGCAAAATACAAACTATCGAGCCTCAATCCCTGCCAAAATACGCCTGGCAGTAACAAAGGTACGTTGCCAGTGGGGACTCATTTACAAGTGGGGATGTGAAGTTTGGTTCACACTCAGGATGGGATGGAGAAAGGAAACTCACAATGTGCTCTCTATATACATGTTGTATTGGATGTACAATGCAGCTTGGTGCTGGGAAGGCAGCATGGTTACAAGTGTGATGTAGAGAGAGTTGGTTGGTGAGGATGCTCAGAGAAGGACAGCTTGTGGGTCGCCATGCTCGCCGGCGGGAGCGAGGGCCGTCAGGCAGCGGCGGAGGAGGAGGTGTTGCTGGCTGCGGCTGTAGGTAGAAAGAGGCAGGTCACTACGAGGTCAGGTCTTAAATAGCGGGGGTTGGCGTGGCTTAGTAGTTGACCCCCGCTCCATGATGTATGGCGGCGCTGGTTGACCTAGACCACGAGGCACACACTGGGGAATTGGTGGGGTCGGCTACTCAGTGACAAACAGCGTTTGTAGGGGAGAAATCCACTACAATACTCCCCCTTCCCTCCAGGCGGTGTAGGAGACTTGTTGTCTGCAGGGTTGCATAGCACATGTGAGGCAGAATGGGCGGTGCATGCCTCATGTGAGACAACGGCGATGGTGTGGATGAGCCTGTCGGTGGATACAACTGTCTAGATACACACTGTCTGTGGGAGAAGAGAGGGAGAAAAAGGGTGTGTGGAGGCGATGAATGTTGTGCTTCCCTCATGGCAGGTACAGAGTCGTCAGATGCGCCTGCTGGGGTGTGTGGGCCTGGGTCAGGAGCAGGGGCTGCTTAGAGTAGCAGAGCTGCTCTAGGGTGTCTAACCTGCGGTGCAGAGACAGTAGCTGTAGAGCCGATGAGAGCTGCTTCTGGGTGGATAAGCCAGTCTTCCATGTTGCTTGAAGACTGGGAGCGTGATCAGTTTCTCCTCCATCCTGTGTGAGTGGTCACTCCGAAAGTGTCAAAACAGTCAATATCTGCCATCGTTCAGGAAGTGTGTGACGCTCTCATTGATGACCTGAAGGAATTTGTAAAAGTAAATTTATTAATATATTTGACATATTGTAAAGGAGGAAAATATTGCTAAATGAAATTGCATAAAAATTAAATAAATGGTAAAATCCTTTATTGTGCCATGCACATATCAACATACACCTACCTATAATAATATTAATTGTTTTTCTTTAATCTTTGTCTCCAGATTGAGCAACTTTGTATCGTGTTTCCCATATGGGATCAGAAACGAGTAACATCTAAAATCGTGCTTCAGAAGGATTGTTGTGAGACAGTCCCCCAACAAATTTGTATTTTTCTGAGACAGTCACGAAACAGTCCAGAGACAATGATGCACAACAATGTATCTCGGTGTGTACTGAAATATTGTAGATAGGGAGCATTATAACATGGAGTTCAATGTGATATGCTTCCAGCCAGTCCCAAACACACATGCATCACCAACAAAAAAATTACTACACAGGTAAAATCAATAGAAAACAAACAAGACTCACCACATTACTTGGTCATCATCACATGTCCCCTGTAGTGGAGACGTCACTGACCCCACACAGCATCTGGGGAGTCTTAGGCCACTTCACCTCAGAGACACGGTTGTCTTGGCCTTCCCAGACATTTTCAAAGTTACAATGCTCACTTAACAGTCACAAAAACAGAGCAAAAATGCTTGTCACAAAAACGGAGTGAAGGAAGATAAAAGAAAAACCACGATAGCTGAGTTTCTCCTTTTCTTTTTAATTTATACCTTAGTAGTTGACTTTTAAACTCTTCAACCTGGTTTTCTCTTAATTTCTTACTTCATTTATTTTCTCCATTGTAAATCTGACGGCAAAATACCTCAGGTAAATTATACTCCTAACATACAAATAAAATGGTTTATTAAAATTAAGTTATATGTTATTAATAATCTCAGTAACTCGACTACAGTTGTGTGTACGCTAGAAGTAGTGTTTGCTGCGGTAAGCTGTGAGTGGTAGGTGCGCCAGCTTAACTACCCGGTGTTAGGTCCCTGTAAGCTTAGTTCAGTGTGCGGCTGGCGGTGGGCGAGCTGAGTGATAATGGCGTCGTCTGATGATATAGGCGGCACCTTAGATGTTGATGTTGTTGGTCTTGTTGACCTTGACTTTAAGTGAGTGAATTACCAATTAAACATTTCATATGAGTTACAGTATAGTGTGAACTGTGGTGTAGGTTGACCACCCCACAGTTACTCTTGAGTGGCGGTGTAATGGTATAACAACATTAGGGTTTATAATTGATATATTCTTTGGGATTATATTTTGTTATCCATCCATCACGTTTTTTTCACATGAAAAATATATTTTTTCGCTAGTGTTCTTATTGTTTTAGATGATCCTGACAAATATCTTTGGGGCGAGGTCTGCCCATTTCGTTACCACTGTTTTTCCCGTTTCGTCACCGCTTTCATTCCCATCAATATATACACGAAAATAACTGGCTTGGGATTGAAAATAATTAAACAACAGACAATTTATTAGAGACGAAAATAAAAAATATAAACATTGTTAATACTCCTGCAATCATCTCACCAGGGCCGGATTTACCAATAGGCCAAGTAGGCCATTGGCCTAGGGCCCACCGGTATCTGGGGCCCCACTGAAACTAATTTGTCGCGCAGCGTGCCAGCGTATAACCTTGTTTCAAGTGTACACCGAGTATTTCATTATATAACATATTCACAACCATAAGGGCCCCTGTACAATAAGTATAGGCCTGCAGTGGTCTTTAACTGGTGGGCCATGGGGTGGTTCTCAGGTGGGCCACGGACTAGGCCCTATAGTAAAGTGAAGAAAATAAGTTAAAATAAGATAATAAAAAAAATATATTTTTTTTTAAATGTCCGTGTCCCACCATCGATCTATCTATCTATCTATGTATCTATCTATCTATACATACATATATATTGATTTTTGAAACATGCAAACATTTCTATAAATTTGGGGGCCCACTGATGAGTCTGGCCTGGGGCCCACAAGTAGGTAAATCCGGCCCTGCATACCACTGCTGGGTGGGTCCGACTAATTACCCAAATGTAGCCGGAATGAAGTCAAATAATGGTCCTAGATGAATAAATCGGACTGCCAATCACTTCTCGACTAGTATTTTGTGTCACAAATTCACAAAAAATTGGTAAACTTAATTTAATCTGAGTTAATAGATCAAGTGCATGTACCTAACCTAATCTAACTTAACACAACTCAGATTAAATTAAGTTTATCAATTTTTTTTACTATGACATCAAATAATAATCGAGAAGTGATTCACAGCCCGAATTACGCTTGTACAACCATCATTTGACTTCATTGCGGCTACATTTGGGTAATTCCTCGCTCCGTCGGTACATGCACGCGATCTATTAACTCAGATTAAAGTAAGTTTTCCAATTTTTTGTGACTTTCTGACACCAAATACTAGTCGAGAAGTGATTAGCAGTCCGATTTATTCATGTAGGACCATTATTTGACTTCATTGCGGCTATATTTGGCTACATTTGGGTAATTAGTCGGACCGCTGCTGGGTGGCTTATGCGCTGGTGCCAAATCACCTTCATTTGTTCTATATTTTGTTTATTTACCAATGATGAATCATTTTCTATATTAAACAATTAACATTCATGTATAATAATAATAATTCTTCATTTGTTCTGTAATTTGTTTATTTACTAATGTTTTAATCGTTTTCTCTTTCAATAATTAATATTCATGTATAATAATAACAATACTTCTTGAGTCGTCTGTATACATGTGTAATTTATATTTATGTAAAATAATAGCTTATAATTTGTCACTAATATCAGCGAATGTTAGTGGTAACGAAACGGATTTGATATTGGTGACGAAATGGGGTGTATCCTTAGGGGCAAATCTCTTTTTTCTTTCTTTTTTTTTATAGTTAGGTTGGTTGGTTGGTTGGTTCCTTTGGTATGAGAATAGGTTAGGTTGGTTGGTTCCTATGGTATTACTGTAGGTTATTTTTGGTGTTTTACTCAAATCTGATCACCATTTTTGTGCAAATTAGCAGTTTCTGCCAAAATGAAAATTTAAATTTTTTGCCCAAAAATTTAATTTGCACAAAAAATGAAGGTCACATTTGAGTGATACACCAAAAAGGACCCATGCTCATACCAGAGGAACCAACTAACCTAATCTAACCTATTATCATCATCCCAAGGGAACCAACCAACCAACCTAACCTAACTAAAAAAAGGTAAATTTATAGTATCACCGGTCTTTATTTTGATATTAAAAATAGATTTTTCCTATGTGTTTTGATGAGTTTTGAACGAATTTGATATTCATTTCCACCAGAATTCACGTTTTTTTCTTCAGATACCTCCCCCAAACAAGCATAATGGAAAAAGTTGGATTTTTCTTTTTTTAATAAATAAATTATATTACAAACCAACCAAGAAAACCTAACTCCTCGTCGGAGGACTGGAGCAATGCATGAGCAGGGGGTCAGACCACCTCGGCCATAGGTAAACAAATCATGGCGACACTTGTGACAGCGAAAGTAATAATCTTGAAAAATTAACATTTCGGTTATCCTTAATATCCGGTGGAAATATCATAGAAGAAAAATGTCTTCGAATTGTGTAAACATTACGAGATACACATTTTTTATACAGAAATAAGAACCGGTGTGATACTATAAACTCACGAAAAAAAAAAAGTGATTTGCCCCAAATATAAATGTCAGAATCATCTAAAACAGCAAGAGTACTAGCGAAAAAAATAATTTTTCATGTGAAAAAAAGGTGATGGGTGGTTAATGATCTTTCTTGGTCGCTTCCTTGTTAATGGTTCAGGTAAGTATTGGCTGTTCTCGGGTTTTGGTATGGATTTTTTTTGTTTACGTTTTTCAGTGTGTTTTACTTTTGGCCATGCGCGTGTGCCAAATGCATTATTTCACATACCTGTAGTTAGAAAGACGATTTAGAGAGATATTTAGTTGTTATTTTATACCGGCACAATAATATATTGTAAAATATATTTTTTTATAAAATTGAACTTTATTATCTGTTCGAAACAAAATACAGATAATTTTTTCATCTGAGTACTTGGCAACAATGTTTGCGCACGTGTTATCAAAACATGGAGGTAGTAAGAGAACGTTCTGCAGCTCTGTCTGAAACCCAACGCATGGCACTTTTGCGCCATATCGAGCAAAGGCCAATCATTGAGGACAGGTCTACAAGCAACACCATAAATGATAGGAAAAGAAAGGCCTGGGATGAAATTACTGCTTCATTCAACGCCAGCTACCCAGACCAAATCCCTCGCTCAGCCAAGCAGCTCAAGAGAAGTTACGAACACATAAAACGGAAGTAAGTATATGTTTATTTCTAAGTTTAGTATTTAAAAATACGTTTTTTTGCCAGTAGGTTACTAAATTGAGTAGGATTACAGTATTTAAGTGACGTGTCATGTGAGGAGTCCCACCTCCTACCAAAGTAGACAGAAGGAAAGCTCCCATCTCACCTCCCCATTTTCCCTTCCTTCGTATAATTTTATGATCACGTTCAGTTATATATCAAAATAAGTGTTTTTATGTCTACTTTTATAAGTTATATATGCCTATATGCTATTCCATGCGGGTGTCTGAGTAGTATTGACCATATATTTTATATGTGCAAGTGTTAGCCATTGATTTATTTTTACTCCTAATCACTCTAGGTTAAAATTGTGTATGATATCTGAAACAAAAATTAAATTCATAATGAAGGAACTGGTATGGAGGATACATCAGTAAAAAGGTGCTTCAGCCATACTGTGTTAGGTTCTCTTGTTTGAAATCTTTAATTGCCAGTGAATAAATTGAAGAAAACACAGAACACTAAGAATTAATACTTTATTGACATGTTTTATTTTTAGTAATAATTTTATACAAAAAATGACAACTACAACATTTTTGTTAACACTACAAATCAGTAAATGCAAAACATTGATAAAAAGTTATGGATAAGTGAAAAAAAATAGTGGAACAGTCATATTTAATATTTGGTTACCGTAGGTAGGTAGGTTAAATTAACGTAAGGTTATGTTAAATTAAAGTTAGGTTAGCTGAGGTTAAGTTAGATTACGTTACAATTAGGGTAAATTAACTTAAGTTTACTGTAGTTAAAGTTAGATTAGGTTAAAATAAAGTTAGGTTAAGTAAAAAATAAGTTAGGTTAGGTTACAGTTAAGCTAGGTAAGGTTAGGTTATTTTAAATTAATGTTAGGTTATTTCTATGTTTTGTGCCATTTATTCACTGACAATGGGTGGCCATTGTCAGTGAACGAAGCTATACAGCATATAACTCTATATGAAACAGGTATTATTCTGCAGGTTTGGTGTGCTTTACATTAGGTGCCTGGAAATATTTTACGACCATGACATGCATCAAGAAAAATTGGCAAGTAAGGGGCTGGTGTCCCCACATAATTAGCAAGCCAAAATATTCCGGCAAGATAAGCTTCAAACAGGTTTAGGCTCAGTTTCAGAAGTGTCACCTCAAATGACTTGTCAGAAGCATACGAGTCATCATTACTAACATATCATAATAATTTTTATAGCAGATATGACTGTAGCCGAGTAGATATGTGTTAGCCTGATTTAGGCCCACTTAAAAAAAAATTTCTGTTTGTTTTAGATATACTAATGTAAGTGAACATCAGCATCATAAAATATAAACATGTTTTCTTTCTCAATTTTTAATGGTCAATTTACATTTTCTATACATATATACAGCTCCTACTAGACTAACGACCTACTCTTCTACTACAACCCGCACTTTTACGACCTGCTTCAGTCGTACCGATATTTGGTCAAATTACATATTTTCGAGTCAACGTCAGTACACAGACAAAATTTTCTTTATATAATTCACTTTAAAATGGTTGGCTAGCTTAAAAGTGAGTTTGTTGTGGTGCTGAGAATAGAAACAGAAACACATTTAAGATTTTCTATGTATTATTTATGCATTTTTGACTTACAACCACTTTGCCCATAGACATTGGTAATGAAAGCATGATAAATGCCTATGCTGTTGCTATAATTATTTATGTTTGTACAGTATACAGTATTTATTTTATGTTTCTTTCAGAACTGAAAGCCGAGATATACAGCAAAGAAAAATTTTAGCAAAGACAGGTGGTGGCCCACCACTCAAAATATTGGAAGCTTCAGAAGAAATGGTCTTGGCATCATCACTGATGGGGGCAGAATTGTCAATGGCTGATGACATTTACGAGACCTTCAGTAAACCAATACATGAAGCAAATAATACCTTAGAAAATGTGCAGCTAGGTGAGAACATTACAGAAAAGTGATTGATTTATACAGCTGCGTGCATTCATAACTCCCATTGCTCAATCTCCTTTTGCTATCGAAAAATCAAACAGGAACAGTGGCTGACAGCTAAATATTTTATCTGTTATTTTTCTTAGGTCACTTTTACCTTTACCTTATACACGTGTACTGACACAGTGTACTGTTTCAGTATTTGCCGAGGTGCTCGAGCAACCCAGTGCTCGTGGCATGCGGAAGACTTCTGCAAGTGTACCTTCTGCTTCACTTACTCAGTCCTATGATCCACTTGTTTTACCTGGTCCAACCCCAGGGCCATCATCTGTGTCTTCTGCACAATTTACTGCAGTTTCATCTACTGTTTATCGACCTCTATTTTCACCCTCTGTTCCTGTCTCACAAGTCAATGTTCCTGCCTCACCAGTCATTGCTCTTGCCTCACCAAACATTGCTCCTGCCTCGCCAGTCAATGCCCCTGATTCACTATCGAGTGATCCTGCCTCACCCCCTCCTACTCATGCTTCCAACCAACACCTTTATTCAGTGTCCAAGGCATCTGGTTCTCGGCCAAGGAGCACACCAAGGCGAACTTGGAGGGTGACACGTGTGTATGAAATGTGTGATAAAAGACAAGAAGAGTTACATAAATATAATTTGTACAGATTGAAAAGGGAGCATGAGGAGGAAATGAAACTGAAAAAAGAAATTATGTCAACACAAAAACTACAACAAAAATTAAGTGAAACTGCAATTGCATCGATTGAAAAGACACATGAAAAATTGATTAATTCTTTGGAATTGTTAGATAGTGTTTTAAGGAAAGCAAGAGCTGCATATGATGCCATGGCTAAAACATATGAATGATGTTGTAATATTTCAGAAATTGGCATCTAAAGTAAAAGTTAATCTTTCTATTTCTTACATATTCAACTAATTTTATTTGATGGAAATAAACATACATGTGTTTATTTTGACAAAGATTTTTTTTGTGTACAAAAACTGTCATAAGTATGGCAGGTAATTATTTTTTGGGGGGTGATTATTTATAATACTGTATACATGAAGGCTGTGATTTTCAAAAATTGAATTTATTTCCTGTGATAAAGAATAAAGTTTTGTTTGGTGTATACAGGTATTTATAAAATATGTCATACTGTGCAAAGTACTGTATGGAGGATATGTTTCTTTTATTAAATTTTATGCATTGATATAAATAGCTGTAGAGAAGGAGTGAACCATTTCTTTTTGTGCCCAAGATAGAAATAGTTTCATGTCAGTTACAAATATTGTCCAAAGTATGGCAGTTAAGATTTCTTTTTATATATCTATAATATAAGCTGTGAATTTCAGGAAATGCAGAGCTATGTATAGAAAAATTATAGTTTATTTTCTTAAGTTTTACACATTTATAAAAAAAATAAATATATATTTCTTTCCTTTTGTTGTCTTCATAAAACCTCACAGGTGAAGTACCTTACATATTGAGTTATGCTCCATTATTAAAGACCACAATGAAGTAAAAATTAAACAATTTGAGGCAACATACTTATGAATGCTTAAAAAAAAATATAGAACCAGTTTCATTAAAATTTAATGACATGAATCGTTCACTAATTAAAGCAATGAATGGAATGGAATGGCGACGTGAAGTGAGAGCTTAGCTCTGATGAGCCGATGATCAGTGTCGCAGTGGTCTGAGCCACGCATGGCACAGGTGATAAGGACATCTTGGCGATCTCTTTCTCTGACAATGATGTAGTCAATGAGATGCCAGTGTTTGGATCAATGGTGTTGCCATTAATCCTTAAACTTGTCAACCTGCCTAAACAAGGTATTGGTGATAGTGAGGTTGTGTGCAGCACACTTGCTGAGGAGGAGTAGGCCGTTGGGATTACACTTGCCTAGTCCATTTCTCCTTATGGTTCCCTGCAAATGTCAGCATCTCTGCCAACTCTGGCATTGAAGTCACCAAGGAGCACAACCTTGTCTTCTTTGGGATAGAGGTTGGCACTCTGACAAGGTCGGCATAAAAGGCCTTCTTGATGTCATCCTCTGCATCCAGTGTTGGGCAGTATGCACTGATGAAGGAGGCATGACGAGGGTGATTCAGTGGGATTCTTAAGCGTCGTGAGGCGCTCGTTGATCCCAATAGGCATTTCAGTTAGCCAGTGTAGGATGTGTTGGCGGATGGAAAAGCCAACTCCATAAATGCGGTTTCTCTCCACAACAGGCTTACCCTTCCAGAAGAAGGTATAGTCACATCCCCGTTCTGTGAGTTGGCCCTCATCTGGGAGCCGGGACTTACTAATGGCTGCTATGTCAATGTTATATCTAACCAGCTCTTTTGCTACAAGGGCAGTTCTTCTTTCAGGAAGTGCATTTGTTTCAGTTTTCAGAAGGGTTCTGACATTCCATGCAGTGACAATAAGAGGGATAGTTTGTTCTGATCTGTGATTATAATTGTGTTTTCGACCGCATAAGGATGACCTTACTGGGTGCGGTTGCCCAGTCTGGTTGGTTCTTTAGGCAGGCTATGTTTAGGGTACCTTTTCTAGCCCCCTCCCCATGTGGGGTGAGCAGAGTGGCTCCTCGAAAGGGCTGCTCAGTCACACAGACAGGACCAGATTGCACTGCTGCCTAGATCCCAGTGCATAAACGACCATCTTATCTGTGCCACCCATGTGCAGAGTTGTGACTAGAGACTCCCGGCAGTCATCTCTGCCTGTCCCCGTCGCCACTCGTCTGTCGCCATAGGACTTTTGGGATATAATGGTTTAATGAGTATGATGAGCTCGATGATGGCTGTGCTTGGGATGATGTATGTGGTGAGGCAGGAGCGCAGGCTGCAACCACACATCTTGGCTCTTCTTTTTCCTGATCCAGTGGTGCAAGTCCAGTGGACTTGCGGCTTCTTCAATCTTGGGCTGTGACCCCTTGTGGGGCGAGCGTCCGCCAGCTCCAAGTAAGGACACTCAACTGAGTAGTGCCCCCTGAGATGCTTATACACCTCAACTAGGTCCCCCCTTGCCCGTCTGTAGTATAAGCTAGGCAAGTTCAGGCACTCCAATCTCTCAGGGTAGCTGAGGTGCCTTTCTGCCTCATTTACACACAATTGCAGGGTCTCAATTGTTTCTCTTACATGACAACACAACACAACATACAGTACATACTGTATATTGTTTCTCACTATTGATGTTTTTTTTATATCTTTATGGTTCTTTATTATTATTATTATTGTTATCATTATTATTTTATTATTTTTATTTTTTTATTTTACTTATCTGAATTATTATTATTATTATTATTAATTATTATTATTATTATTATTATTATTATTATTATTATTATTATTATTATTATTATTTTTATTATTGTTTACTACTACTACTACTTATTTTTTTTTTTTTTTTTTTTAACGTGGCCTCCAGCCTCCCCCAATAGCCACACCTTCGCCACCATTTAATTACTTTAATATTAAATATCCTAATACATAAGTAGCTATCCTATCTGTGTTGAATTAGTTGAGCCACAGATCTATGCGGCATTCAGTGACTGTTGCCTCATAGTCAATATCTGCAGCTGTTGTCGGCATTGGGGCCGAAGCTCTCGTTCCCATAAGGCAGAGCAAAGCCAACCGAAGGAGAGAGAAGGACAGTCGACATCTCATCCAGGCTGTAACATAACTTCTGGGCTGCTGCTTCTGTTCGGAGATCACCTCCGCGAGTCTGGCGTAGAAACATCTTGCACCTGGTCCCATCCCACCAGAGGTTGTGAACACCAGAGGAGTGAAGTTGCCTTGATCAACATTTTGAATTCTCTCCACTTATGCCCTTATCTTGTCGTTCTCATTCCGCCTGTGTGCAGCATCGAAAGCTAAGTTACGGTGACATGCGGCTATGGGATCAAAGATCCTGATGTCGAAGAAGGCTCGCTGTCCCCGCATCCAGAATCCTCAAGCACTGAAGTCAACACGGGCTTCGTTGGATGTGTTTGAAGTGTTGGAAAATCTCACCGTCCAATGGAAGGAGGGTCGGTTTTACCCTGACGTCACGGCAGATTTCCTTCAACATATTTGCTGTGAGATCCCTTACTTCATCATGCCTCATGCATATGAAGCCCCCTTTCTTGCACACAATGGCGTGATAGGCGTCATAGGAAGAGCCACACACGCATTGGGAAGGCAAACCTTCCACTGGCCTACCGTACCTTAGAGCATTGGCATCTGTAAATTCTTGTTTATTGAGACTGAAACCATTTGCCCTTAGGCCCCTAGGCCCCGATATGGGTCAGTGACCTGTGCCCGGGTGGGATAATTTGGGATAATTCAGCAAGACCAGAGCCCCCTATATATGCCTTGTTATTGAGGATTTACTGTAATCATAAATACATTGATTACATTACATTTTTGTAATCACTCATAAGTATGGTATATAATCATAATCAATTACTGGGTACAGTATTACCTCATGTCCTAGAGGGATACCTACCTGTACAATATTTTGTTCATTACTGTTTCCTAAAACTGTTTATTTAATATTCTTCTATGTACAGTACAGTACTAATATTTGAGCATTAGTCACTGTAGTACTGTACAGTATTTGTGTTTTTCTTCTTGTGTATTGAAACCATTTTTCTGTCTTTCAGAAGTGAACCTGATTTTTTTGACTTTGATTCTGGTGGTGAGTTTGGACTATTTGGAGAAGCAGGAGTGGCTTTACACACCACAGCCACCACCACTACTCAAAGTAATCAGTCGTGCAGTACTACTGTCAATGGAAATACTACTGTTGGTAGTAGTTGCAGTAGTTCGCATCACACGACTGGATCGCCAAATAGTAAAAAAACTTCTAACAGCCGTAAAAGAAAAAGTCATTGGAATGCTGTTGAGAAGGATTTATTTCAGAAAGGACTGGTAAGTTTATTGTCTTTATTTCAGTACAGTACAGTATTAATTTTGTTTCACCATGGAAGATGTGTTGCGTGGTTCATTCTAACAGTCCGTGGGTTTTGTGGCATCTGTTAAAATATTGTGAGCAATGAAGAAAAATTAAGTGATCATCACACTCAGGGATGCAATGGTTGAGAGGGGTACATCACTCGCCTTCTGTCCTAAAGGTTACTTGTTTATGTCTGGGATGTCCTCGGCAGGGGGGGTAGTAATGGTACCAAAACACCAGGGGCCCCGTGAGGCTGGCAGGGTTGTCGGGGATTTGGGCAGTTGAGTGCATCGTGCGTTCTGTTGGCTAGATCAAAAATAACATACGTAATATTTTTACGATAATATAATTAAACACTGTGTATTAAAAGTACTGTATATAACAAACACTTGTATGGTATAGGAGAGATTGTCTGCTTAAACCATTTTAAGCATTGAAAATGTTGACAAAAAGATTAATTTAGATGAAATTATTGATTCTTTTGCTTTTGCAGTGTAATACTGTACTTTTTTCACTGTACGGTTTGTATGTAGGATGGTATGTGTATGTAACTGAGTAAAATGAATGAAGAAAGTGACATATATCTGCCCCAAAATAGTTGAAAAACAATCATAATACCTCATAGCCTGGCCCAGTAGCCTAGTGGTTACAATGATGAGCTAACCTAGCTCCAATGACATGATTAATCACTATTAATCACTATTCTATCAGTAAACACTAATAATAAGTGTAAATCCAGTGAAATATGGCAAGGAGTGAGGAGAGTCACAACTGGAGACAACATGCTAACAAGCAGTCACTCACTCCCCTTATTAATCCTTTACCAATGACCAACTCACCTGCTGGGGGATAACTAAACAGTCACGTATTGAGATCTTGTTGACCTTATGTTACTTTGGTCACCATGGCTGAGTGGGTGTATGGGAATGTGCAGCCCTGGTTACTTGAGACTTTGTGGTGCTAGGAAGTACAGTTACCTATGGTTAATCCTTTTTGAGGGAATACTTCCTAACTTGGGTCTGTTAAATTGTTCCATTGACACATTACCTCCTTCATCCCTTTGTAGCAGGTACAGTACGGTATTGAATTTTGCCAATTGAAAGACTGAAGTATGGAAACATAAATTGTGGGTGAATCAAGTAACCTAGAAACATTCCTCCCTTTTAGTTACTATATCAGCAGGAGAAATGTGTGTTTTATTGTGTGATTTCTAACTTTATACCCGAGGGATACAAGTCAAGGGAACTAGTCCAGGATTCATCCTGGTGTGCCTTGCTGGCTTTTGAGACAACCATTGAATCACAGTTGAAGCTTGTTTCATAACCCTGATCTGAATGGGAAAAAGACTCTTTGTAGCCTTTCCACTGATCCAAATGAACGGTATTTCTGCCATAGAAGTACAAGGCAGGCTCAGGCAGGGGGTTGTTTGGTAGGGTCATATAACAGTGTAACTTTTCCTCTTGGCCATAAAATGGGATATCATACTTTAATCATTTATTTGTTTTTCCTGAAGTTTTCAATTTAAGTAGCCAGTGAATTTCATATTGAAAGTATTGACAATAAAACTTTTCTTGCAGGAACTCTTTGGACCTAACTGGAACAGACTCTCAAATTTTATAGCCACTAAGACTTCAGGACAAGTTCGTAGTTTTCACAAGAAATGGGCCGAGACAGCCAACATTGTCCAAGAAGCTGAGACTGTAGGGGAAACATGTGTGTATATGCCAGCTGATCAAGTTTGTATTACTACTACAGATTTAGATGATCCTTTAGGTCTTATTGAAACTGCTACAACAACTGTAACAACAACTCCACTTTCTCCAAAAAGAAATAAAAAAGTTGACAGTAGCTCACAGGCTTCAAGTGCAGTTGAAGATAATAGTAAAGGATTTAATTCATCAGGTGAAATATTTGTTCCAAATATTGCAGAGGAATGGATTATTGAGTCCGATGGCTTTGTTTGTTCAAATCCTGAAACTCTCAATAATTTTAGAAAAAAAAACGAAAATAAAAAGAAAGTGAATCATATAAAGAAAAAGAAAAATTCCATGCTTAGTTCAAATGTGCCTTTTAAAATAAAGTCCCCTCAGAAGCAGACACCAAAGAAAAAAAAGAAACTGAGGATTACACTTGGTCCAACTAGCAGTGAGAGAGAGAATGTGATACACTCACAAACTTTACCCAAGAAGGATGGAAAGAGTGACGAGCCCAAAATTGCTATGCCGGTACTTGGACAAGTTGTTCACATTGTTAAAAATGAGATGGAAGAAAGTGATGTTGATATTGATATAAGTGATGATGAAGAGTTGATGATTGAAGACAAACCTCCAAGTAATGTAACGGTTTGTAACAACATTGAAGACACAGTTATTATTGAGCCAGATGAATCTATAGGAAATAAAGAAGACACTGTAAGTGAAGATTCTGGAATTGATGATAAAAAACAACAAGTTTTCAATTTTCCTCCCCCAGCTGAGGAGAGAACATTAAATTTAGAAGATGTAACAGATGAAGAAAAGAAAGTTCACTCTGAATATTTTGATGGAAAAGGTGTAAAAACTCCAGAAAGATATTTGAAAATCAGAAATTATCTTATTACCTTTTGGAATCAGGTGAAGCCTAAATATATGAGAAAAACTATAGTTCGTGCAGGTTTAAGGAACTGTGGAGATGTTAACTCAATAGGTAAAGTTCATGAATATCTAGAAAAAATTGGTGCTATTAATTTTGGGTGTCCAGAAAGTAATTACACTTCTCCTTTAGTGATTGGTGTTAAACAAAAAGAAAAGGTAACTGTACCTACTAAGCCTTCAACTAAGGTAGATCGGTCAGAAATGACTCGACAGAAACAAAAAAAGAAATGGGATGCATCGATGAGTGAAGGTGGTGGTCTTACAATTAGCCATGATGAATCAGGCGCAGTTGTGGATGCATGTCATATTCCGGAGGCTCCTCGCAGTAGGGCAGGTCCTGGGAGTGGCCCAAATGGTGGAAGACTTGAGCAGTTTAAATTAGTTCGCTGTCTTGAACATGACCCAGACACTCCAGCTCCATTTTCTGTTGTCATGCATGCTCATGCTCTTATTACATTAGATCTTCATACACATACATCTCATGCTGAAGTAATGGGGTTGTTAGGTGGCTACTATGATCCTGCTACACAAACTCTCTATGTAACTGTTGCAGTTCCCACCCAAGCTGTTAGTACAGGTGTGGAATGTGACATGTGCCCAATATCTCAAAGCACAGCATGTACTGTTATTCATGAGGGTGGTGTGCAGGTAGTAGGATGGTATCACTCACACCCAACATTTCCTCCTAATCCATCTGTTCAGGATATTGACACTCAAGATCAGATGCAGCAATGGTTTGCACGCCAAGATGCTCCATTCCTAGGTATTATTGTAAGTCCCTTTTGTCCCACAAATCGTAATGAGGCTTCCCAAATTCGTTGTATTGTGTTAGATAAACCGCCACATAAAGTGTCTGGAAAGGAAGAGGTAGAATCCTTTCGTTCTCCATATAAACTTTTCTGGTCTGTGAGTGAGGTAATCCCTGGTGCATGGGAAGAAGTCTGCCAGGGAGTGAGGGCAGTAGTTGCAGGTGCTCGAGATGATTCCATGGCAGTAGAATGGAGAGGAGAATGGCGTGGGCAGTTGACGTACTGGGAGAAGGCAATAGCATCTTTAAACCACCATTTACCTCTACATCTACATGAACCATTACAGTCAGTGCGTACCACTTTCCTTGCTGCTGTCAGAGAGTATTTGGATGCTTGATTTTTCAAAGAAAATAAGAGTTCGGGAATATGGATGTAAAGCAGCATAATCAACTCAAAGAAGCTGGCACTTGGGAAACTGATATAAAAATGTTTACAGTATTATTGTGGCCATTCAGGAAAGTCTTCTAGTTTCATGATCATTTTAGTTTTTATGATAATTTAACCTCTTGGGTATGAGGGGTCTCTCTCTCTCTCTACTGAATGAAATTGTCTGGCATTAGCCGATTAAAATATTAAAAGTGGCATCCAGTTGTGAAGTCTTTAATCACAAAGGCAGTTCATAATCATGTAGTCTGTACTGGTAGTTTTTCTTCAAGAAGCTTGTACAGTATTACAGAGATAGAGTGAGACCACAGATGTAGCCCACCTCATACAGGGAACATTTATTCAAGCTGAGGCAGCCAGGATTTGGAGCCTGTCTTACTTAACACAGACATGTTAAGATAGATTATCTGTACCCCTGTTGGTTTAGATATTTATGAGCAATTTAGATTACAGTAATACCCTGCTTTACGGAGTTCTCGTTTACGCGTTTCTACATTTACCCGGTACCCAGCCAGAACCGGAATTCCCAATTTACGCGGTGCATCTACTCATATACGCGGGTGAAGTATAATTTTTTTATTTAGCTCATAAAATTCATAAAAATTACCCGGCCAGAATATAATTTACATTGCTGGAATTCTTACAATATGATTATTTTAAATATAAACATCATGGATTTTGCATTAGACATACAAATTTTAAATTAATTTAAGAATTTTGTTTACACAGAGCAAATATGTTATCTTTTGTGCAAAATATATGACGTGTATATTCAAAATATTCCTGGTCTTGCAAGGAATCCAGCAATGTCAATTATATTATCCTAACTTTAGTCTGAAGTATTATTTATTATTAAAAATGTAAATATACTGCTTTAACCCAAACATTTCTCTGGTAGGGAGGGAAGGTGGGGGGGTAGGGAGGGAGGGAGGGACCCAGCGAGCGTGGGAAGGGGGGGGAGTCGGAGGTGGGGTATTTTGATTTGACAGATAGTGTCTGGGTGAAGTATATTTTTGTTCAAGTTGAATGCGACATCAGCAAATGCTACCTAGGTATGTTAATTCCTAGCCAATTCGCCAGGCCAACATACAGGCAATTAAAACATCTAATAATTACTTAAAAAGTAATATTAGGAGGACACGTTGCTACCTGGCATTTAATTGCAATTCTCAAACCCCCTCGTTCACTTCCACCTATGTGCATCGAGAACCTCATCTCTTGCCTGGCGATCAGCTATAATACACACAAAGGGAAGCTCCGCAAATTTGTGTTCTAATTGCTGAAATACTCGCCTCCAAGGATATTATATATGGTACAGTATTTGTACTTAATAGCACAGTGATGAAGTAGTGACTTATTTTATGTCTCTCATTTATTGTATTTGGGACATTCTCTTATACGACTTTGGGTCAGCATGGCGACCAAAACACATTTTCTTTTTGAGTCGTTTAGATCGTTGTGACTATCCCTTGCCTTTAAGTCACTCAGTGAATGTCGCTGCGCCCTCCCGGGCTCGTCTTCACTAAAAGAGAATATGTGAATACATCTATTTATATATACTGTATACATATACTGTATATGTTTATTATTTACAATCTTTGTCCCAATTATTCACGTGCTAATATGAATACTATGACTGTCTCTCTTCCTACTCTTATGTACGTTCACAAAACCCTTGGGCTTCCGCCCTTGGGCTTCTATTTGTTCTCAGCAAAAAGGCCAGAGTTGAGTTTGTCTCTTCATAACTTTGATGTCCTCAGTAGTGGGTTCAGGCGAACTTTAGCGAGGCTGCTAGACTTAGCGTTCCTTCCGGAATGTTGACCTTCCGGTCTTACTAGCAATCTAGAGTTATGTTGAAATGGACTTTACACCTTCTATGGGTTATATGAGACCAATTCAGGGTGGAATTCTCAACCCAATATATATTGCTAGAGTAACAGTGAACGTTGCTGCCAATAGAGCGCCATGTTAGCGGCTCAGCACTGTCAACCCTGCCGGGTGATGGTGCGCACGTAGGAATTTTCCCTCAAGTGTTTACTTGGGGATAATGTCTGTGCCCCTGATTGGCAACAAATAAAGATCTTGATGATCCCTCTCAATAAATGTTCTGAATGAAATTATTTTATAAAAACAAATTTAAATAAATAAGTTTCATTGAGCTAAGGGATACTTGATAAATAAGAGTCGGGAGACAGATACGAAATAGTGAGTTATTGTTTATATTGGTCATAGGAGTGACTTGTATAACACTAACTTACGGATAATATAACATTTATGAGTCATATTGATTAAGTTTGGGAGAAAATGCTTTCACCCTTATTAATTATTATTATTACTTTGTGTTATAATGATATAATGTGACTCATGTTATCCTCCTAGTTCAGATGAGTGATGTGCAACTGGAGGATGAAGGTCAGGAGTTCGGGCCTATGGATGATGGAGGAGACTATGGAACTGTCCCTGAGGAGATACTATTGAGTGATGAGCTACAAGGACTAGAAAGTTCAGCTCATACACTATATACAAGGAATTGTCTGTCAGTAGAGAATTTGAATACAGTAGTAGTAGTTTCACCCAAGACCCAAGGGGGCCATACTACATGTAATTATAAAAAATGTAAAGTGACTTGGATTACTAAGATAGATCCTCATGTGGCTTGTATAATTCATGGCAGCTGTGTCTCAAATAACTTATTTTCACCAATGGATTGTGCAGTTTGTTATGATCAAATATTTCAGTTTCATCAAGCTACAGGTGATAAGAAAGATTTATTGCAATTACAAATTAAAAATAGGTGGAATAAGGCCTTGAAGAGTAAATTTTTGAATGTTCAACAATGGAAAGATCCCAAGTTGGCAGAAAGTTTAGGTTTAATGGTGTTAGGTAAAAGACTTAATCCCCACTTAGACAAGACTGCTCCTGCTAAGAAAAATAAGTTATTGGACCCTTCAGACTGTGAGGCAGTAGGAAGTCCACAGAAACCTCTATCTACTCAATCTGATTTCAGTGGATTCCAGGATCAGGACGATGAGCCTGGTTCTAATCATAGTATCCAGACTCTTGAGCAGGAAGAACCTGTTGAGACTGACTTCATCCTATCCACATCTTGGCAACCACTTCCACCTGGGGCAAAAGTGTTGGTTACTGCGAGTGGAAACAGGCTGCTGTCGACTAACACGCAGCTGCTGGATAATATTGAGTGTAAGGTTGACTCTAACAGGCCATGGCTAACATTGGTAAGAGCTAAGTCTTCTTTGTTCACTAATCCATCTGAATCTGTGGATTCCTTATTCAAGATATTTTATGAAAATGTCTCTTAGCTTCCTGATATCTCAGCAACTACAAAGAGAGAGGAAGGACAAGCAACTTTGGGTCACCATTCTTTGTTTTTGGAGGGTGATACTACACTTTCTTGGCCTGATATTTGCCCAAAGATGATCTCTGAAATAGACAAAGTCTGGGCTAATTTATTGAAAGAGTTAACATTCATTCCCTCAGACAGGATGCTCACAAGTTTAGTTTTTTGAAGTTCCAATTTAATGACAAAAAGAGTTCCTTATATGATCTTTCCCAATATTTGTCGGCTTCAAAATATGTTGATATAAGTTATGAAAATTTTTTGAAACCAGTTGCCCCTGCACTGCTGCTTGAAGAATTTAAAATTAGGAAATTGGCAGCAGATGTTTGGTCTGCAATCATGATGTGTCAGTTATTAACTAAGTTTGTGCTGGACTATGAAGAAAATTCAGAAGTGGACAAATGTTTTGCTGCTGCTCTACAAGGAATCCCATATTCCCTGTACAACTCATTCTTAGATCATTTGTTGAAAGCCCTAAGACTGAAAGTCTAGCTAAGGAAACAAGCAACAAATAATGCTTCAAGTGGTAGCGCTTATTTGTTGATACGTTCTTCTCTTTCTCCTGCTTTGTTTGGTGAGCAATCATTGATTAATTATAGATCATCTTTGGAGAATACTATTAATATTTATGTCCCCAGGAGTCCTCAGACCGTAAACCTAGGAGAGGAAGGTTTTACAGAGGAACAGGACCAGCTGCCCGGGTCAGTTATCAACCAAGGGGAAATTTTAGAGGAGGAAATAATCAAAGAAGTAATAGAGGTGGACGTTTGTTCAGAAACGGAAGGAGACCTTATTCCACCACCTCAGCAACTTCCCCCTTCCAATGAAGCCAGACAGCTGGGTCGTCTAGGGGGTTGGGAGAACAGATGGACTTCTTCCATATGGGCTTACAAGGCAGTCAAAGGGGGTCTCACATGGACTTGGTTGAGGCGCCCTCCCCTAGCATTCCCAAAGAAGGGTAAAAAACCAACCCCATTACTTAAAAAAATTTTAAGTCAACTACTAAACAGAGGTGTCATAGAACCGTTGCAGTCAGAGAAATGTTTCCTGTCTCGCCTATTCCCAGTCCCCAAGAAAGGCAGCGACAAATTAAGGTGGATTTTGGATCTTTCAGTCCTAAACAAATTTATTCCCAAAAGAAGTTTCAAGATGCTCACTTACGACCATCTGAGGCATCTAATTCCGCCCAATGCTTGGATCTCAAAAGTGGATCTCGAAGATGCCTATTATCACATTCCTGTTGCTCCCAGGTACAGAAAATTTCTGGTGTTCAAAGTAGGGGAATTAAGTTATCAATTTACAGTGATGCCATTCGGTCTGACAATTGCACCAAAAGTCTTTACAAAACAGAAGAATAACCTTACAATGCACTCAACTGTGATAAAACAAATAAGTGGATTGTTAATTGAAATAGAAAGATTGTTAATGGTATGGGTGGAAGATCAGTAGCTCCAGGTTTCAGTGTAAGTGTTAAACTTAAATTTTTTGTTTTTTTCTTCTTCCTTTGTAAATAACACTGAATTGCCATAAGGGCACATTCACCTCCATATCTCACTTTACTTAGACTTCAGTTAGTAGCTATGATTATTAAGGAAGTCATCCCACTGAGAAGTATATCTCTTGCTCAGATGAAATAAATTGTGTTGCCCGGTGGATGACACTAGCCATAACGGCCTGTACCCAGGCAGAAGAACGTGGCTTTAACCATTGATTCTTGATGAGTCCCAAGCTACTGGACCTCATCATAACAAACAAGGAGGGTATGGTGGCCTAACTGGAACATCTAGCCCCAGTTGGCACCAGTCACCATGTAGTGTTGTCATTCAGATTTAACTGTTACCTAGTTCATGATAAAGCCAGGCCAAGGTGCAAATATTACAAGGGAAATTACAACGGGATGAGGGAGGAGATGAGGGGTATCCACTGGCCTGACTCACTAAGGCAGAAGAATGCTGTTGCTACACTAAATTCCTTAGCTAGTAAAGTAAATCATTTGATTGAGAAATACATATCCAAGACCAAACTCAGTGCCTCCAGGAATACAAGGAGACCTTTTCACATGAACCATGCGACGGTCGACAAATTTAAGAAGAAAACCCAGAAATTCAAGATCTGGGTCAGGTCGAATGATGAGCAGGAGAGGAGGATGTATGCAAGAGCTAGGAATCAAGCAAAGGCAAAGTGTAGAAGGGCTGAAAAGGAGTTCCAGAGGCTGGATGCAAGCGAGGTCAGGACAAA